GCAGTCCTGTGTGTTTGACAAGATCATTCCTCAGGTCTCCTTTGGTGTGGCTACACAAACAGTTCTGTGAATAAAATGCCCATGAGCGTGTGCTTAGATGTAATGCTTAGAGATCTGATAGGTGGGTTTGGTAGAGGGTTACTCTTTGGCAGGCAGGAGGATGAAATCTGTAGGATTCATCTTGGTATTCCTTGTGAAAACTTCTCCCCAAGCTGGAATTGTTGGGTCGTGGCTATTGCTGCCTTTGCTCTGGGACTATCTTGTGTTCCTCATATCAAAGCCAGTAGTGCTGTGCATTTTCTGGGTTGATTTTCAGGGTTTTCAGTGCAGGATGGTCAGATTCACCAGGTTCTCTACAACAAAATGTATTAATCACAAAACCATCTTCTTCCTAATCTCTGAAAACCTGCCTGTTGGATGCTTAAAAGTGGTTATAACCTACTAAATGTGACAGTTTGTTTAAATGTACTTTTTGTTGTGTAACTAAAGAAAATATCCTTAAAAGGAAGTCTGGTTGCAATGGGGACTGTTGCAGTAGCATTATTTTGATATTTTTTTACCACCTTTTGACTAGAATCACTCCAAGAAGTGTTGATTTACATTCTGTTTTGAATTATATCTAGTACAAAACCACAATAATCAAATTGTGTGGTGGTTAGAAATTGGCACCAGTCTAAGCTAGAGGAGGATTAGCTTTGTACTTGCTATTGTTTTTTCTGAGTGTGTTGAACTTGTTGGTGTTGTGTAAGTTTTTTCCATCCAGAAAACAAGGAAATAATATTGATAAGAAAACACAATACGGATGCTGGGACTGTGTCCCAAGATAAGATTTAGATTTCTGTATATACTTGAATGGGAGTCAATCATCCTTTTGGGTGCTCAACAATTACAGCTTAGTGTCTCCAAGCTGAAAGAAGGTGATGGAACACAACAGTGACCTGCTGAAAACCCCTGTGTGCTGGAAGGACATAGCAAGGAAGAGTGTTGTCTTAGTGTTAGCATGAAGAGATTAATTGTCCAAACTAGATGAACTCGTTCTGTAGATTTTTCAAGCCAGTCTTTACTCTGATTTAGAGCTTCGAATTATTGCATAGTGGCTCTTATAATTAAAAACAAACCAGTTAAACAAGGACAGGGGCAAAGGGTGTGTGAGTTAATCAGCTTAAACTCACACCTAGTAATCTCTTTCCTCCCTTTGTCGTATGCTGGGTTGAAGAGGTGGGGTCTTTGAGTTCTAGTAATGAATATATCTAAGCCTGAAGCTGTGTACTGGTAGCCTGCTGGCAGTTCCTCTTCCTTCTTATAATATGCTTCTACACCTCTATTTTTAATGCTTCTTGCCCTTTATAACAGTTGGTTGATTCAGCCATTCATGCCTATATAACTTAAATTTAATGTGGTATCTAGGTTTTTGTTGACAAGCCTTCCAAAGCCTCTCCTTTACATACCAAATTCATGTGAAACCCTTGAGTGCTACTGCTGTGCAGTAGGTAGGACTTCTCCTTCTCAGATCTCTGTATGTTGGAGGGCAAGCTAGGGCCTTCAGCTGGCCATTACTTAAGTGTCTTCTGCACTGTAAGAACCTGTTCATACTCTCCCCCCATGTGTACTTCTTACCAAACACAAGGAAATGCACAGTTTTGCTGCATCCCCTAATACACAGCAGCCACAATTGTCACTAATGACCCTCTGTCTGGACTTCTAGAGCATTGTGTTTTGGCTTTTGGCAGTCTTGGTGCTTCCAGCCTCTGCAGGGTCTAGGCTGTGAGGCTTCTTAGAGGTTTCCAAGCATGCTCGGGGTCCAGTGTCTCTAACTGGGACCTGTATTTGTATTTATAACCTTCACCTCCTGATCTTCTCCCTTTTTAGTGCCTTGTGTGCTTTTGGGAAGGCATGTTTCCTTTCAAATCTGTTCTGAGCCAAGGTAGTAAAGCAGCCTTTGAAGTAGTTTGCCTTGGGATATCATTCCTTTTCCTGACTTAAGGAAACTTTCTCAATCAGGCCAATGTTTTGTGGCTCGCAGGCTCTGGAGTTGCACCATTTCTCTTCTGAACATGGACAGGAGCTGTGTTGTGCCTCAAGCTCTCTCCACTTCCAGCAGACCTGGAAAGCTAAATGCCAATTTCTGTGTCATGATCTATTTAGTTTGCTGTTGCTATGAGGGGAAGGCCATGCTCTCCATCTAGGTTGTGTGCTTTCTTTCCTTACATTGTGCTCATCTGCACTGACCACATTCACCACTCTTAATTCAGTCAGAAGTCATATTTTCTTTTGCAGGGCTAAAATTCAGCTAGGAAAAGATCAGAGGAAAAGGTCAGAGCTGGTATGGGGAGGAGGGCAAGACCATGGAGAACAGAAAAGAGCAGATGGCTTCTCTCCTGATTTTCCTTCTGGAGCAGTAAAATGCTGGTTTGACTCATCTGTAGGATGTAAATTCATCCTGAGGCAGCAAGAAAAACTGGCTGGCCATCCCTGGGCTCTCTCCTGTGCTACCTTGTTCCCTAGGCACACAAGCACTAGTTCTAGCAGAAAGGAGAGCCAGAAAATGCACCCACACAGGATGAGGATGGGATTGTGAGAGCCCTGATTTACCTTGTGTTAAGCCTCCATGTTGCTGCTTGCCACGGGAGAGGGGGGAAAAAAAAGCACATGCAAAAATATTTCAGGGGAAGGGGTTCCAGGCTACACTTCTGCTTCTGCCCTGTAGGTGTTTGGATTGCTGTGGGTCACTGGGGTTATCACAGGGGCTTGGATTGTATCTGGTAGCAGTGATTTTTTTTAAATTTTATTTTATTTTGAAATTTGGGGCAGAGAAAACCAAACATTTCTAAGGTCACCAAGAGTTAAGTGTTTCAAGCACAGAGCAGTAAATAAGTAAATCTAGAAAGCAATGGTCTCAATCAGTGTGAAAGTACTGGTAATTCAGCAGTGAACCTGTCTCTTCTGAGCCCTTCTGTGATTTCGGGCAGCTCACAGCCTGCTCCCCATCTTCTAGCAGCACCAGCACTCTGTGCAGGATGTGACCCTCACTGCCTAGTGCAGGCAGCTCAAGCCTGCCCAGAAGCTGTCAGGAAGTGGCAAAAGTACAGTCTGTCAGCACCTGGAGTGTTTTATTTCCCTTTTCGGCTTCACTCCATTTGTTTAGGCAAAAATATGCCCTAGAACTTGGCTTACTTGTTTGGTTTTTTTTGTTCTAAATTCCATTTTTCAAAAAAGTAGGCAAACAAATGTTGTTTGTGCTCAAATGACCTCAATTGACTTGCAAATCGGGACCTAATTTTAATTAATAAGTTGATTTGTTTCCCAAGTTGTATCAGCGCTTCCTTTAATATTTTTTTATTTTAATTAGATCAAGCCTCAGAGGTACAGGTGACAATGATGCTGACTGAAAGCTGTAAACTCAGAGGACTTCATCACAGGTAAGCTAAGCAGTGTTACAAGCAAAACTGTAGCTGTGTGAGCTCAAAATACTTGTGCTTCAAGCTCCCTTGAGGGGGAAGAAACAGTTTTCTTAGAAATCAGCAATGTTTTGTATATTTTTTTAAGCCATGGAGAGATGAAACTGGGAAAATGGGGAAAGTCTTTTGATTTGGTAAATAACCTGTATTCACAAGAATTTATTTCAGCCCTTTTGTACCACGTGAGAGTTCTTCCTAATGGGGAAAATACTTAAGCATGTCATTTTTGGAAAAAAATATGTCTAGGCTTTCAGTTATTTGGAGACCTTGTGCTCTGCAATTCATCATGCAAGATTTAATGCTTTTCTTCAGTGTTGAATTACTGTGTTCAGGGATCAAGAAGATTTTTTTATTAAATTTGAGTTTCATAAAATGTGGAATTTCTTTCCCTGTCTTCCAGGAATCTGCTACCAATCACTCATGTCTGTATAGAAGAGGGGGAGAAACCAATGGTGCTGCTGCCATACATGAACTGGGGGAACCTTAAACTGTTCTTGAGACAGTGCAAGCTGGTAGAGGCCAATAATCCTCAGGTACAACCAGAAATCTGTGACTTCTTGCCCATTAAACTTAGACCTGGTTTGTCATCTGTATTCATGCCTTAAAAGAAATAGTTGTGGTGTTCCATCTGTTCTGCTGGGGCAGTGAGAGAATTGGCAAGCAGGCTCCCTAGCAAGTGTTTGCCTTGATTCATACAAGGGAAACATTCTCAGCTGCATTTATTGCAGATGTTCAGAAGGCAGGAAGCTGAGTTAAACTCTGATTAGGGTAGCAGCTGGTGTATCAGTACATCTTTTTAAAAAAATAATGAAAAACCAGATAAAATAGTGTATGACTGTGGATATAAGTTAGAATACAGGGGGAAATTGTGTATGGAGAAATTTTGGATGTACTGATTCTATTTTTGGCATAATTAGTAGATCGTCCCTTTAGCTCTTAATTATTTGCTAGTAAGTATAAAAGACTTCTGTTAAACTTTTAAGATGTTGCTGTAAATTTGCTATTAAGGAAAATAGGTGGAGTTATTTAACTCTAGATACTAAAGCAGTGTCTGCTAATTCATTTCTAGTGCTGTGGGTGCTCTTTAGCATTCATAACTTTGCAGTGTGTCAGTGGAACCTGTTGATGCTATTTCATGAGAACTGAGAGAGCAAATATTCCTAGATGAACATATTTTACTTTTAAAATGCTGAGGTTTTAGTGATGGGTATGTATATGTAGTAAAACTGTCCCTCTTGTTCAGATTACTTTGTGTTTTCTTTAGCTGCATCTTGGTTTAGCTTCTGCCTTTAGACTTAAATCAAGCACAAAATGAAATCTCATTTCTGAGGTCAGCATTTGTCCTTGCTATGTACCAGATTTCAAATGAGCAAAGGCCACCTACCTCTGTTAATTTGCAAGTTCTGATAAGCTGCTAGGTTCTTTCAACTTGGATTTGACTTGTTTTGCTGCTTAATTTGAGTTGTAAATCCCTATACAATGCACCAGTATCTCTTTCCAAGAATTTAAGCAGAAATGGTGTTTATAATCTGTATTATGTCAAATAGGAGTTGCTTAAGGAAAAAAAATGGGGCATTATGTATCCTATATACTCATTTTAAGAAGTTTTCTACAAAAACCTAAAGCAAACTCTTTGAGTTTTCAGAAATAATAAGTGGCTATAGTTCTTTGTAACCTGTTAAGGAAATAGTGTCTGTAGCTGCTAGAAACCCTCAGCCCCAAACAAATTTTTGTTGTAGAATACAGCAGGGCCCACTAACCTCACAGGCACTGGACTTGGAGTTTTGCAGTGATTGTTTCTCTGTGCTCTTGCAGGCAATTTCCCAGCAAGATCTTGTACATATGGCTATTCAGATTGCCTGTGGAATGAGTTATCTGGCCAGGCGGGAGGTCATTCACAAAGACCTGGCTGCTAGAAACTGTGTGTAAGTACCCAGTGCTGTAAAGTCATCATGCAGACAATGCTAGGGCAGTAGCTACAGCTAGGATGGACTTTCCCCAATTGACCTGATCTCTGTTTCAAAACACACCACTGTTTGGGTTTGTCTTCCAAATTTTGAGTGGATAGTTTTGCCCAGTGAATTTGTTTCCCCTGAATATGAGGTGAGCCAGGAAGCATGGCTTTGAAAGCAGAGCATCCTCATTTTAAATACTTCTGCCAAGTTTTGTCTATCACTTTTTCAAAGGCTTGAAAAATATTAAGACTTCCCTTATGTTTTCATAAAAACAGTTTATCAACTAATAAACTTTTCTACAAAGTTGCTGTTCATTTTTTTTTCCTTGAAAAATGGCTTAATGGCTTTTTTTGTTGGTAGTTTTCTTTGTTGTCAAATAATGGCTAGATACAAATGTACTTCATAAAGGTAGGAGTGCCACAGTGAGGTTTGAGACCATCTTCTGGCTGGAATACACCCTCAAAATGTGCAGATTGAGATGTTTGGCTTTCTGAAAACCAAATCACTCAAATGGCCAAGTGTGCTCAGTCTCCATCTGCTTTAGTACCTAATAAGGGGGAACAGAAAATACTTAAACTAAATGTCTGAAAATATCAAAAGGGGCAGCTAGTTTATGGGCTTAGTTTTATGATACCTGCAAATAACATCCTAATTTAAGTAACAGAGTTAGTTTGCAGAATTAAAGACCATGTCTGAAGCCCTGAACTCAAGCTCCTGCTTTGGAGAGCCACTTCTGCTTTTGCCCTGCTATTGGTGGCTGAGAGCTCTGCATGTCTGACTCCACAATTAACAGTAAAATATGAGTCCTGTTTCCCACCCTAGGATGGGTCCTGCTCCTGAAATTTGGACAACTTTTGTCCTTTGTGCTTCAAAACCACTCAGTCCTCTCAAGTGAAGACTTTAGCCCTCTTCTTCAAACATCCCAACCAGGGCCAACAGAGCTCCTTGACTTCCATCCAGGGGCCTAAGAGAAAAAGCTGGGAGATAATTAAGCACTTAAGACACTTAAGCTGGGACAGGGGTGGCTGGGAGATCTACCTTGAAGGGATCTACTCATCCCTTGTGGTTTTGAGCTGGTGTCACCAAGCTTGTCCAGCAGAATCTTTCCTGGCTTTTGTGCTACATGAGGATGCTCAGTTTAATACAGTTCCTGAGAGACTCTGTTCCTAATTCCTATTGCTTTTCCCCTCTGGTGAACACACTGAGGGAGAAGTGGGGAAAGGTTGGGAGGAGTTGAGATGAAGTGTATCAATCCTATATACCTGCACCTTAATTTTGGGAAGGGAGCCAATTGTATTACCCTTTGTATTGTATTTGTTCATAGGCAGGTCTTCTAGGAATTGCACTAAACTCTTCAGGAGTGATTTGATATGGAAATTTACAGGTCTATAAACTTGGAGGGGAATGAACTGGCCTGAAAGGTCATAAAAATGAGATCTTTGGCTCATTGCTCCAGAGGAACTGTAGCTAAAATTTGTTTCATTGATCTGGTAGGGGATCTCTAAGGGAGGAGAAATCATTTAAAGGGATTGCTTGTCTGCTTTAAACATTTAGGAATAATAAAAAAAAGAGAGTTAAGCTCAATCTGCTGATTTTTCCAGTGCTTATCTGTTAATGCAGAATAAATATGTTCTTTGATAATATTTGATAATCATACGCGTGTCTTGATCTAGAAGAATGAGAGCTCTTGGAAATATTGTTAGTGCCATTAGTCTTCCCCAATAAACAATAATAAACACAATAAATATTTTCTGCAGAGCTGTCATGTCAGGTTTGCTAATTATTCTAATTATTCTAATAATTCTGTTCTGATGATGCACTTCAGGTTAAGATTACAGACAACGCGCTGTCTCGAGACCTATTTCCCATGGACTACCATTGCCTGGGAGATAATGAGAACAGACCAGTTCGATGGATGGCTCTTGAAAGCCTGGTTAACAATGAATTTTCCAGTGCTAGTGATGTGGTAAGTTGGGTTTTTTTTTTCCTCTTATGTTTTGTAGATGCATTTTGTGGACATTTTCCCCTTTTTTCAGCCGTTGGAGAATCACGGCACTGGACAGGTAACAGTGATCTGTGCAGAACAGCACCTCTGCACCTGCTTCCTGCACTTGCTGCTCATGGCAGGTAGTTTAAAGGTCAGGTAGGCCCTTCTTGCATGGCAAAATTGTCAGTTGGACACTCTTCTCTTTAGTAGTGTTAGCAGAAGAGGCAATTAATTGCCAGCAATCTGTACTGGGTCTTGTCTGCTACATGGCAGGTAGTTTAAAGGTCAGGTAGGACCTTCTTGCATGGCAAAATTGTCTGTTGGACACTCTTCTCCTTAGTAGTATTAGCAGAAGAGGCAATTAATTGTCAGCGATCTGTACTGGGTCTTGTCTGCTGTGTGGGTGAACATGATCCAGAGTACTTCAGTTACAGTCTTGTGGATAGAGAAAAGAGAGGAAGAATTGCTTCCCTTGTCCTGCTGGCTACACTGACACAGCAAAGAATGCAACTGGCTGCTTTTGCTTCAAGAGTCTTCAACTTGTTCATCAGGACCCCCAGGTCCTTCTCTGCAAAGCTGCTTTCTAGTCAGTCCGTCCCATCCAGTCTTGGTACCAAGTCCTGCATCTGGGAGGGATGCATTTGCTTTCATTGAACTTGGAGGTTCCTCTCAACCCAGTTCTCCAGCTTCTTAAGGTGCTTCTGCAGAGCACTGTCCTCCAGCCTGTCAGCCACTCTGCCTAGGCTGTATTTATCCAAGAACTTCATTTGAGTCCAGGCTGTTAATGAAGATAAAGCAGTATTGATTCCTGAGCAGTGCCACTGGTAACCAGCTACTAGCTGAACTACTACTGCTGGTTACAGCAATGTGAGTCCAGACACTTTAATGTCATTTCCTCATTAATTTGATATAAAGACACTGGAAAACAATGTCAAAAGCCTCACTGAAATCAAGGTGAACATGGATTTCTCACCTTGTGTCCACTAACACTGTCTTCTCAGCAAAGAACTAGTCAGGCTAGTCAAACAGTTTGCCCTGAATAAATCCATGCTGGCTGTTCCCAGACATATTTATGCTTCATATGCATGGAAGTGGCTTCCAGGATCTTGTGCTCCCCAATCTTAGCTGGTGATGTTATGTTAGACTGCCTGGCCTGTGGTTCCCTGGGTCCCAATTCTTGATTGCATCCTACCTGGTACAGGGGTCTGGTGTGTCCACACTTGGCTTCAGTGCAGCCTGGATGTTTTCCTCTCTGGGCATTTCTTGGTAGCTAACTCTGCTGAGCTCTGGTTTTCCAAACTCTCCATCCCTCCACACTGATGCATTCCCACTGTATTCCTTAGACTGCCTGGCCTGTGGTTCCCTGGGTCCCAATTCTTGATTGCATCCTACCTGGTACAGGGGTCTGGTGTGTCCACACTTGGCTTCAGTGCAGCCTGGATGTTTTCCTCTCTGGGCATTTCTTGGTAGCTAACTCTGCTGAGCTCTGGTTTTCCAAACTCTCCATCCCTCCACACTGATGCATTCCCACTGTATTCCTTGAGTAGTCTTCTGCCTCCACCCACTCTTTTCCTTCCTTCCTTTGTATCTGAGCTTAGTGCATCCATGGTGGCCATCTACCATGCTTGCTCAGCTTCCTCCACATCAGAACAGACTGTTCTTGTGCTTACAGGAACTTGTGCTTGAAGATCAACCTGTGATAATTAGAGTGCTAATTAATGGTAAGCCACTTGCCCTTATGATCTGTGTCTTCCTGCTAAGGGGGTATTTTCTCTGATAATGATGCTTCCCTTAACGTGGCTACATCCAGAGATTGTGGTTTGCATCTTAAAATGTGCTAATTTAGCTCTACTTCAGAAATACTCCTGTAGTCATTGAAAAATGTGGGGGTTTGTGTCCTACCAAGCTTGAAGATGGAACAGGAAATAGAAGTTACCAGTCCTAGGTCATAGTTAGATGTTCTAGGTGCACCACCACTTGTCCCTCAGCCTTTCTCTTGCCTACAAATGAAAAGGATGTCCTCTCCTGACAGATGGCTGTTCAGAGCAGGGCTGCATCTCTGCCCCTGCATTCTCCAGCTCTGAGCTTCCCCACAGTGTCCACTGGCACTGGCTTTGGGCAAGGAGGAAGCAGGATTTCTTTTGATTAAAACTAAATCTTTGGAGGCTTGCAGAATTCTGCCCCTTTTTTAGTAAATCATGATATTTGCAGCACTTGTAGCTTCAGCAGTGAATCATTGGCATCATCTATGTTTTATCTCTTGATACCAGTTAATAAATCATTTTATTGACATTTATTTATATATTATTTATTTTTATTTGCACATGAGTGGATTGGGTTTTTTAGTTTATTTTCATCTGATCCAGCTGTTAGGTTTACCTAGATGAAATCTTTTTACTTGTGAGTCCTGTTTCTGAGCATATCTTCAAAATACACAGATAACCTTTAATCAAAAAAAAAAAAGGGTTAATTCAATCTGCTTTTCTAAACCTTTGAATTTCACAGACCTTTTTTTGAGGACTTTTGTGTAGCATTTCAAAGAGGTAAAATGTAATCTAAAATTTAATATTTTTTTTCAAAACAGTGGCTTAGTGTTTAATATTCTTTAGATTTAAGTGTTTTTATATGTCATGCTGGGAAAATGCAGTAAATAAATTAGGGTTTTTTAGCACTTAAATTTTGGTGCACCCAGTTCTTAATTTTAGTTCAACTTCTGTAACTCTTATTTGTTTTTCCTCTTGAACTCAGCTATATGTAAAAGCTTTCTTACTGTATGTAAACTTATTTATGCCTGATTTTTGTGGCATATCTGCAGGAGCTCCCAAAATTCAGCATGTTCTGGTAATGCTGTGCTCTGTTTGTTTTCAGTGGGCCTTTGGAGTGACGCTGTGGGAGCTCATGACTTTAGGCCAGACTCCTTATGTTGATATTGACCCCTTTGAGATGGCTGCTTATTTAAAGGATGGCTATCGAATAGCTCAACCCATCAACTGCCCTGATGAACTGTAAGTACATGTTTTTGGAGCTTAAAATGTCTGCTTTGTAACCAGCACGTTAAGGGCTGAGTTTGCCTTTCCCTGCCTCTTTATTCTGCCTTTTGGACAAGCTGTTGTGCCAAGTGGCTTCAGTGACCTGTGTCAAGGAACTGAGGCTAAAATTAAATGCTGCTTATTGCTGTTATTGAGTCTCACTTAATCCTGACCCAGCTCTTTGCCTTGTTTTGACACGTGGGAGAAATGGATCAGCAGGAGAGGAGGAGAGAGGCAAAGGGGCTGGGGGTTTTCAGCTCAGTGTTTGTAGGCAGAGAGTTTAGGCAGAGAATAGTTTGTATTCTCTTGGGAAGACTAGGGAGAATTATTTTGTTTAATGGAGTTAAATAGCAGTGTTTGAGGTGTTTACTCCTAATCCTAGTGGTACAGGAGGATGCAAACACACAGGCAGCACCTTCTGCCTCACGTGGTCAAGTCCCCTTCCTGCACACCTGCCCCAGGCACACTTGGAACTGGGCTTTCTTCCCCAGCAGCTTCCCATGAGCTCTCTATTGCTTCCTCCTGGATGGCCTCTGACTCACAGCCTAATTCCAGCCAGCACTTCCAGCCTCAGCACATTTATTGATCATTCCAGGGGCCTGTCCTCTGAAAAGAGTTTGGCAGAGTGATTCAGAAAGATCACTCTGAATCATGGGGTTCCTTTTCTTTCTCTAGACAGCAATTTTTTTCTAGTGGCCAGTGCTGGTTTTCACTTTCAGGTTGGGACTGTGGTTATTCTCCTCCATCTCCCCTTTGTCTTTGCCTTGCAGGTTTGCTGTGATGGCTTGCTGTTGGGCCCTAGATCCTGAAGAAAGACCCAAGTTCCAGCAGCTGGTGCAATGTCTAACTGAATTTCATGCAGCATTGGGAGCCTATGTCTGAAGGAGCAGGAGAAGAAGGTTCATTCACTGGCTGGGAGAAGGCATGGTGTCCATCTGCAGCTCTGTCCATCACTTGGACTCACACGTGGGATGTGTATAAAGCAACACTAAAGGGAGAAAGCACTTCTTCCCAAACACTGTGCCTTAGAATGCCTTAGTAGTCTGAGTTTGTTTTTGTAAGACCTCTTGATGTTGAATATTTTCTAGATCTCACTTTTGCTAAGTTAAATGGAGACCTTTTTATTTGCCATCAGGATTTTTAAAGTGTAGTGCTAGTGAACTTAAACACAACATTTGGATGGACTTTGCACTCTTAAAACAGATGTGATTTTGGGTTTTTTTTTTTTTGGAACTGGTAGAAAAGTGAGGCTAGGGGAAATAAATGCAAAAGCCACACTGCACAAAGTTTTCCCTGCTTTTTAAAAGATGCTGAAAGTGAATCTTTCTGGCCAGCTCTGGTGTTTATACTTGTATGTATCTGGAATAGCTTTTTAGTATCAACTTCTTCTATTTTTGAGACAACACCACATTGTGGTTGGATCCACAAGCAGCATCTTACTTTTTTTTTAACCCACTCACAAATGTTGGTTATTTTTTTTTTTTTAAAAAGCTGGTCTTCAGGATACAATATTTCCTTTTTAAAGCAGTGAGTGGTGATGTGAAAGTGATTCCAGTTTACCTCATACAGAGTAGGAAAGGTGGGGGAAAAGTGATGCCCTTCCTTTCAGATCAAAGGCTGATGTGACTCTTTTTTTTAAGAGGGTTTTATGTGCTGAATAGAGGCCTTCAGAGAAGCTCCAAAGCAGCCCTTGTGTGTGGGAGTCTTTCACCTCAGACTTCTGGATTACAGTTTTCTCTTGTTCAGAAAGGTACTGGTTGTTTTTTTTTTAATGGGCTTTTATGGCCTAAAACGGGCTTAAATATATAAATATATATTTGTAAAGACACTTGCAGAGTAAAGAATGTTTTTCTATTACATCTAATGTGGAAGCTTCATCCCTCACATTGCCCTGCATGTTGAACTTGTAGGTTGGTGGGGGTTGGGTTGGAGCTGGCATGAAGATGAGGTGGATTGTCTGCCTTCCTCCCTGCAGAACTAGTTCCTAAGACTTAACATATTGTCCTGCTGCCTTCTTTAACCCAAATATCCATTCCACCCCAGGTTATTTTGAGCTGAGCATTACTTAAGAGGACTGAAGAAGCTATTCAATGAAAATATGTGGTGATCCAGCCTCAGCAACTTTCATATTCTCTATATGCCAGAGTTATTTGTGGAATAACTTCCAGTTCTCCAAGTGAACTGTGGGTTGCATTCTCTATGTGGTGGCACCACGAGGCAGGCTGCACTTTAACACAGCATGAAAACAGGACAAATTGCTTTTCTCTCACCCCATCTTCAGAGTAAAGCACCCAAAGCTCTGAGTGTTTGTGCAACTGCATGGTTGGGTTCATTGCCCTGACAGGCTCCACAGTGATTGTACCATTTGAGGAGACTCTGGCCTGTGGGTATGAGCAGCTGGATTGGGCTGTGTAGTCTCCTTTCTGACCCAGAGAAACCTCCCAGTGTCAGTACTTGTTTGCAGACGTGGTTGTCAGAGCTATCAGGAGCAGTCTTACTCATACCCAGATCCATGTCAGGATGGATCCCCATTCCCCCTCAGCTTCCACAGGTTAAAGCCAAGATAGGTGTTTTACGGAGAGCAAAACTACCTCAAGTAGACACCTTGGGATTTGTTGAACCTAAAACTGCAAGCAGCTTTTGTGGGGATGTTTTTCTTCACTGCTGCATGTGATATTTCTTAGCTTCATGGGCTTTTAGGAAAGCTTTTGAGGAGCAGGTCACTCAGGAAGAAGATTGAAAAGACAGACTTTAGTAGAAGGAGAATATTATTGGTAGCTTCTACTCTTAATCCAGTGAGACTTTTCTGCCCACTTTCAGTTTGGATTGATCAGTTCCTGCTGCCTGAACACAACTATGCACCAAAGTCCAATATACCATGAGGCTGAAGAGTGTTAGGATGGAGCCCCTTTCCCCCTCAGCTTCCACAGGTTAAAGCCAAGATAGGTGTTTTACTGATGGCAAAACTACCTCGAGTAGACACCTTGGGATTTGTTGAACCTAAAACTGCAAGCAGCTTTTGTGGGGATGTTTTTCTTCACTGCTGCATGTGATATTTCTTAGCTTCATGGGCTTTTAGGAAAGCTCTTGAGGAGCAGGTCACTCAGGAAGAAGATTGAAAATACAGATTTTCTAGAAGGAGAATATTATTGGTAGTTTCTACTCTTAATCCAACGAGACTTTTCTGTCTACTCTGTTTGGATTGATCAACTCCTGCTACCTGAACACAACCATGCACCAAAGTCCAATATACCATGATGCTGAAGAGGCATCAAGAGCATGTTGATGAGCAGTCCTCAGATTGACAAGCTCCAGTGTGGCAGGCTAGGAGGGAGGTGTTTTGTGTTGACAAGGGGAGGATGAAAGAGGAGTGCCTATTTTGGCCATACTAAACACATCCAATAGTCTTCCTTGAGTCTTTTTCCACATGTCTGACTTTGAAGAAGAGGCAACAGGATCTGGCAGAAAGGTACAACCTGTGAACTTGATGTATAGAAAAGATGTTCAGGTGATAGGAGCTGAAGAAGGAAATGGCTGAGAAATTTCCTTCTGGGGAAAATAACAAAGTAGGGGTGGACCAGCCCTCTCTACACCAAACCCTCTGGAGCATGACAGCTCCTTGCTGTGGATTCTCTGTAAAAATAATGTCACCAGAGACCTCTGGAGGAGCCATTTCACTTGGAGTGCTGATGTGGAAACTGTATGGGAGGTGTTGTGGAGAGAGCTGGGGAAGCACCCATCCATAGCTCATTTGATGGGCTGGGAGACAAAAATGAGTAAAGCATGTAGGATGAGATTGGGGTTTGGAAATGACAGGGCTCCTGGATGAGGAGCCAAAGGAAGAAGGAAAAGCCAAAGGAGAGGCTTAGTGGTGAAGGAAACAGTATGAGAGCTACCCTTGGGAGAGGTAGATGGAAGATGATGGTGGTGGGTGAGTCAAGGAGGTAAAGGAGCAGAAAGCTGTGGTTGCAGAAGAGGGAGGATTATGGCTTCCAGGTGTTTTGTTGGTTTTGGCTTTTTTTGGGGGGGAAGGGTGGGTAGTAATGCTGGGATTAAAAAATGAGACAAAGGTGAAAGGCAAGAGGTGTTGAGCATGAAGTGCTGGGTGCCAGGGGACTCCCTGTGGAGACAGAGGTCAGAGCTGGTCGAGAGATAACTGGGGCTCCATGAAGGAGGGGATCAGAGTTTTGAGAGGAAAAAGACCATGTGAAGAGAGAAAGCTGAGAGCAGAGGGTTGAGTCCTGGGCTGGGAGCTGTGGAGGTGCACGTGGAGGTGGTGCTTGTTTGTTTCTCCTGGACGTGACCTTGGTTTATTGTTTGTTTGAATTTTCTGTGCGTAAGTTTGGCACCAAGACTCAGCACCCCACCCCAAAGTGTCTGACAGGCCTCGTCCTGGGCCATGTGAGAGGATTTCAGCTGTTTTCTCTGGAAAGACACGTGTGGTGTGCTCTGAACTGTGTGTGTGGAAAGGGCTTGAGTCAGCTGGTGCTTTTCAGAAGAAAATGGAAACATTGCTGAGAGCGTGGAATGCGCGTGAGGGTTTTGAGCCTCTTTGTGGTAGCTGATGGACATGAATCATTTTGAAGCCAAGGAGGATTAAAAAGAGCTTTTTCAAAGCCCTTTGTAAAGAGTGGGAGGAGATCATCAACCACATACTGCACAAATGTTCCTGGCAGGTCAATCTGTGTGCTCGGGGGCACGTGCAAATCCTTCTGCAGGTCGGTGCCATGGGGCCAGTCTGCAAGTGCAGTGTTACCAAAGCCTCACCTGAGACAGGTAAAAGTGGACATCTGGGGTGGGTGTTCATGCAAGCTTCACCATGGTGCTGTGGGAAGCAGCCCTTGATGTGTTTGAGAGCCAGGACATGGTGTAGTTCTTCAAATTGATCCAGGTAGGTTGCTGGAGCCACAGAGTGCCCCATGAGGAGCCAGTCTGGCAGCTGGAATCTGCAGTGGAGGAGTGAGGCTTTTACACCCTTGCACATCCAGGTTCTTACCACCAGATAAGGACATTCCTGCAGCCATATGTGGGCACCACGTAGCAATGCTTTTGGTTAATTGCTGCTTCCTCCCTGGGAAGGATGTGGAGAACTTCTCTTCCCTCTGGGCTGCCACCTTGCAAATATCAGATGAAGTGGTGTTAGAGGGAGGGGATAGTTTGAGGGTGGAGGGAACATGCTTTATTTCTGATGGCTCATCTCCTTCCTCTGAGTGAACCTTGCCTATCCTGACCTCTAAGTGTGTCTTGCCTTGGAGCAACATCTCCTGTAATGCTGCTGAGCACTTGCTAAGTGTTGCCTGTTTGGGAAAAAGAAGAGCCTTGCATTGCCATGCAGTAGCTCTGTAGCAGAAGGCAAGGTTTGATTGTAAAATTCAGTGGTTTTGGGGTCAGCCATTGGCTTGATTTGTGCTCAGCCTAGTAGGCTTAGGACTGGGAAAAGCCTGAGGGAAGGTCCCTTCCCCTCAGGTTGGAAGGGACCTCTGGAGATCTAGTCCAACCTCCTTGCCCAAGCAGGTTTGTCTAGATTGGGTTGCACAGGAACGCATCCAGACGAGTTCTGAAAGTCTCCAGAGACTGCTGAGCTTCCCTGGGCTGGAAAAGGCAAGAGTTAGCTCTGTCTCCTTCCTTCCATGGCACAGAAGCTTTTAGCTGCATAAGGAATTGTGGCTCATTAACTCTGACCAGCTCTCCTCCAAGTCTGGTGTTGCAGATAACAGGTCCCCTTTCCAGGTCTGCACAGCAGCTGAAGCAGCCACACTTGTGAGCTTTACAAAAGCTTCAAATCCAAACAGTTTTCCAGCAAGAAACCCCCAAAATATGCAAAATAGATGCATCAAAGAATCCTGTTTCCTCTTTTCCCTTCCTTCTGCCCACTAGCCTCTTCTTCAGCTCAGTCTCATGTGAAGTCTCAGCTTCCACCTGTTTTTTTCCTGCTCAGATGAGGTGCACTTTATTTTATTCTAGTTTTCTTAATAAGTTTTAGATCAGGCCCTTCTGTTGTCTCTTGTGTTACCATCCCCTGGGCTTCTGACTGATGATGAGCTGGGTTATCTTTGGGACTAACCCTCCAGGATCCAAACAACTCTTTCTGTCCCTTGCATTCATACAGAGCCAAAACACTTTGCAAGCAACCAGAAACCCTTTGCCCTGGCTGCAGGTAATCCCCACTCTGAGAATTTGTGCTCATGAGACAGGATTCATCTTGCTGAATCTGTGGTTTGTAAGAGTACCTGTGTGGTACCCAAATTCTGTGCAGGTCCCAGGCTTG